GAGTAGTTCTGGATATATACTTCCTTTTAAATTTAATTTTAATTTTTCCAATTAACAAAAATCTAATTTCTCCATCTCATTTTCTTTTTGGGGGGCTGGGGAGGAACAAAAGTCTTTGTAACAAATATGCATAGTCAAACAGGACAATGATAAATCTTGGAGAAGATGTGGGAAAATTGGAACACTAATACATTGTTGGTGGAGTTATGAAATGATCCGACAATTTTGGAAAGCAATATGGAACTACGCCCAAAGGTCTATAAAATTATGCACACGCTTTGATCCAGCTAATACCCCTTCTAGGTCTGTATCCCAAGGAGATCATAAAAACGGGAAAAGGACCCACATGTACAAAAATATTTATAACAAACATGCATACTCTGTAGCAAAAGAAATTCCCTAACTGGCCACGTCCAAAAAATATGTCTCATTCTTCATCTTGACTCCATCACCTCTCTGCTGGGAGGTGGGTAGTATGCTCAATCATCAGTCCTCTAAAATCACATTTGGTCTTTGCATTGATCAGTCTTTTGTTAATGTATAAATTGTTCTCCTAAATTGTTCTTCACTCTGCATCAGTTTATACAAGACTCTAAATATATTTTAATTAGGAAAAACACACAATCATCAGGCTAAGAAATCATGAGTCTTTCCCCATGTTCAAGTTGACAAGTCAACACGCATCTTTTAAGCACATGTGCCAGATACTGGACTCAGCCCTGGGAATACAAATATAAGCCCAGTCTCCTCAGTTCTTCAAATATTTGAGAAGAAGATCCAATAACCTTCTTTTATCACCTCTTCTAGCATCTCCCAAAGCTGACAATTCAAAAATTGCTCATTCTATTTAATCAAAATCTCTTCCACAGCAATCAAAGCTTGTTTTCTCTGCTTATGTTAGTAGTGGTGATACAGAGAACTTTCAGCCATTTTTAGTCTGATTTATTTAGTTTAGTAGATCTAAACGCTAAGGAGACCAAAGGTTTGGCCTACATTTGGGCCAAGTAAGGTTGTAATGATGGCAAAATACACTCCAAACCCACTTGGGCACCTTGAAAACATCAACCAACTCAACAAAAATTATCACCACTGCTGGAAAAGCAATTCAATTGTAACATCTTTGGTCTCAAAGTACAGTGAACTTTTAAGTCACTTTCATAAGTGTTTTCTCTCATTTTATCTACACCATGCCCAATAAACAGGAAGGGATATTAACATTTGGGAGTATACCAATGTCTTCCAGCAGCATTTGTTCTAGACTACTAGGGAAAAGTTCCACAAAGTCACTTATCCTAGCAACTGAAATTTCAAGCTAGTTAGACCTACCCTAATCTTACTAAGACTGAATTATGACATTTGCTGTGAATGGATCCAGCATCAAGACTGGATTCACCAGACTAACGGTCTAGTTTTTATTTAGTTTTTAAAGGTCTAGGCTTTATCACTGACTTCTGCAAATTATCCTGTCTCTCCAATATTTCAGTTTCTTGCACTAACTGGTCTCTCTTAAGTAGAATACAAATCAACTAATCATAATGTGCCTTGAATTCATCAGACACCTTCCAAAATTTGGGAGAAAGAAAAGACATAAGAAAACAATTGTCATTAATTTCAGAAATACCTTTTTAAAACGTGCATCAAGTCATTCCCAACAGAGCAGATGTAAAATAATCCAAAACCCTCTACCTGGAGCCACTCTTCAAACCTCTAAGACCTTAGTTCTCCACTGTATCAATTCACATCAATTACTTCTTTCTTCAAACTCAGCATCTCAGGAAGGCCTCCCTGACAAACACCTCTTGACCTTGACCTATGTCCTTTCCCCATTTATACACTCAATTTGAACAGCAATTTTCATTTGCTGCCATCACAGAATCAGAGTTGAAAAGAACTTCAAGTCTTCTAGTCCAACCTAACACCCCAGATGAGTGTTCGTCCAGTCTCCACTTGAGTAATAATAATAATAACCTTTTTTTGCAAGTGTTCTATCATCATCTTGCATTTTCTATCTTCCAACTAGATTGCAAGCTCTTGGAATTGAAGGCAGTTACCTCTGTTCTCTACATATCTTTTGAAGTTCCACAGCACCTCATACAGAGCACTACATCACAGCATATAAAGTCTTGACTGACTGATGAACCAAAGAAGCATCCATGATCCAAACATTCTTCAAATCCCATGAACACATTCTAAGACAAAAAAAACATTCAAAATCCACAGGGTTCAGAAACACCAGGAACCCAACCATTGTCCCTGGGCTGGGGAACAATAATCCAGTGGAATTGGTAATACATGTGAAGGCACTGGGCCCCAAAATTGATTCTCTCAGGAAAGACAGTGGGAAGAAAGTGCTGATGCCCCATTAAGTTCCATTACTCCAGTGGTGGTGACAGCCTCTTAAGTAGAAGAATGAATAGAACTCACAGACTAAGAGACAGCATGATTCAGGCAAAAGAGCCTTGTGCCAGAGGCCCTGAGTTCAAATACCAGTTCTGTCACTTACTACCTGTGTGACCCTGGCTAAGTCACTTGACTTCTCTAGGTCTCGGTGTCCTCATCTATAAAATGAGGGGGTTGGATCAGATGGCTTCAGCTCTAAGGAGATTCCAGATCTAAGGACTGGCTTGGAAACTAATGGACATTTTCCCTCACAAAAGAAGACAGCAACAATGCCTTTAATATTCTGCAGGAAAAGCATACTATGAAAATCCAGTATACCACAAAAGCCAAGATGGAATATAAATTCATCCCCTCTCCAAGTTATATGAGGCAAAGGATCTCAAACCCTTCACTACTCATCACTTGGGGTTTTCAGCTTTCTGTGTTTCTGAACATTAAACTCAACATACAAATCCCACCACAAGAAAAAGAGACTCTTGTACGACCAGAAATGCATCTTCATTTTACAGAAGAGGAAACTGAGGCTTGGAAAAATGATGTGATTTCTCCAAGGTCACACAGTAGCAGAGCTGAGATTCTAACCCAGGTTCCCAGTCCCTAAATGCAGCATTCTTTCCATTGTATCCCTTCTGCCTTAGTCCATGAATGTCCTAAAACTCCATTCTAAGAAGGGAAGGAGGGAGGAAAAAGGAGTGGAAAGGAGACATCCCACTTCCTTGCCACACATCAGTTCCCATCTCTTATGGGCTTAATGACACTTTTTAGCAGAGGCCAAAGCACAGAGGCGGCAAAGAAAGAAAAGGGGGGAAAAAAGGTAATACATATAAATACGTATCAATTATACACCTGTGGATTATCTGCAGTGTGGTGCACTGGAAATAGCACTGAATTTGTAATCAAAAGAACTGGGATTAAGTCAAGGAAGGCTCTGCTACCTTCTATGACACCAAGTCACTTCCTCTGTCTGGACCTCAGTTTACTTACCAGTAAAATAGAAGAGTCAGCCTGCTAGATCTCTAAGGTACCCTTCATCTCTAAATCTATGATCCTATAAGCCCAGTCACTGCCCAAGCTGGTAACAAACAGTTGCATCAATCTAAAAGATGTTCAGGGCTAGATATAGTGAAAAGAGGATCTGGGAATAGGCATCCACACAATATACTCACTTGTTAAGGAAAGGAAGGCTTTTTCATTTTTGTCACATCCTATTCTTTTTGTCACAACTGTCTTTTATTTTTCACAACTGTTAACATTCTCTTAATCACTTCTTGGGCTGCATTCCCACATTCAAAAAGAAATGTCTATGTTTTGGATCATCCATGCTATTCCCCTCCATTAGATGAGTTTTAAAGAAAGCTCTACAGCATGCTCAGTTCACCATATCAAATGTCTTTCAAGACCAGTTGATTTATTCATTCAGTTAAAATTATGCAGTACTGTATTCACTGAGTATGATTCTAAAGTATTTATGTTTTTAATGGGGGACAGGTTGGAAAGATGGAGATAAATGGGTTAGGAAGAGGAAAAAATGAGAATATATGTGCACACCCCTCCCTCCAATGCTGCACCATTCCTTTGAAGGTGGCCCATTCTCCTGGAGGAACCATACTTTCAAAACAATATTATCAACAGCGAAGGAGTGCTGGGGTCTCTAGGACATACCCCAGGTGGTGGGGGTAGGATGGCTGGGAAGCAAAAAGGGTCAATGACTCTGTCTATCTATCACGCTTGAAGGTATCCAGGTTAGAATTTTTCAGTTTCCAAGACAGATTAGGCCAAGGAAGACCCATTCTGTAGAACCAAGAAGACCACAGGAGAGTAAAGTCAATGTCTGGGTTTAAGGCTGAATTTAAACCCTGACCTTGAAGGAAGGAAATCTTAATACTCCCTATACATTGTGGAGGGAGAGCTATCAACCACTAACAAAATTATTGTGCATCCTGAAAGGCAACTCTGTCCCCTCCCACTATGCCATTTTCTCTCCCCCTAAAAGCACCACCCTCTCCCCTTCAAGCCACTGATGCCATCCAAATCACTATGGTGCTCAATTCCATAAATGACCAGTCCTGGCCCAGTCAAGTAGCTTTCCCCAGCACTGCAAGTACCTCCCCTCCCCAAACTCAAATCCAGTTTGGTCTGAACCTCCAGCTCAAACCCCAAACATTAAATGCCAGTCTTAGCCAACCTTGGGAAGCTGGCATCTCTGAGACTGGAATCTTCCCTCTACCCATACACCCTCAATTAGCACACAGGGTATCAGAAAAAACTCCAATCTGAAAGAAACCCAGAGAAGGCTTAAAGATATCAGATAGCCCTTACCCCACAATTCACAATTTTCATTAAAATATGCCATTGGACTATATACCATATTATATATACACACAGAAAAACCAGCTCCCCCCCAATTACACATAAACACACGCACCCATCCGGAGAGGCCAACAGGAACTCCTATCCCCCACTGCCTGTTTGATCCACAACCATTTTGAAGCCCACAGCTCATCTTGCTCTCTTGCTGCAACCTTTTCGAGCATAGCCCTCTCCTCCCTCATTTCAATCTTTTACTATACATTTTAAAACCAAATAGTCAGCAAACCTACCTGTCTATCGTCTGGGGTAACCTTACACTCATGGTTCTTCGGGTGTCTCCACCGATCCAAATCCTGTGGCTTTAGTCTTGATGGAAATCGAATCACTTGCAATTCAAATAAATTAAAAAAAAAAAAAAAGGAGGGGGGGAGGGAAGAGAATAGCAACTTGGGGGCCGAATCCCTTTTCCTTCAAGCTCTCAGGACCCTGGTAACTGAAGCTCCATAATGCCTCTACCAGTTAACATGGTCTCCTTTCTTAACCCCGTGTTCCCCTCCCCCCACTTAAAAAACCGAAAGGAAAAAGAGAGATCGAGGGAAAAACTATGACCTTCTTATTAACCAAAAACCCAACCACAAATCTCTTCAACGCTGGAGCCAGAAGCTAAAAAATAAAAATATAAAAATGAAGCCTGCCTTCAAAATATTCGTCCTAGCTGCAAAACAAAAATAAAAAGCATCCTTTTAATCACTTTCCCAACTATCCTTTTTGTGGGCAGGTTCCCAAAGGGGGTAAAAAAATTTCTGGTCTCCAATACTTAAAACGACAACAAGAGGCTACAGCTAAAAAATCGAAGCATACATCCAAAACGGTGCTTGGAAAAAAAATGTTTCCATTTGTACAGTAAAAAATAAATAAATAAAATCATACAATGGGATGTACACAGTTTTTTCCCAAGTCCAGTTCAAGCTTTAAAAAAATGAACTTCCTAATTTTAAAAATTGACCGACTATATACATTGATGGTTCTGCAATTCCTATGAGTCCCTGCCCGAAAGCCCCAAATTAAAAGCTGCAGTTTCTTCCCTTCAAAATAACAACAGCATACAGAGAATCCCTGAAGATTAATTTCCTTTTTTTTTTTCCTTTTTTCTGGTTTGGTTTTGGTTTTCCTTTATAAAACTTCCAGAGGCTGTCCCCCACCCCCACCCCAGCCCCTAAACTAACCCCGTCTGATCCTCCTCAGACTAAGTTCGGCCTTTTTTCTGGAAGGCAATGTCTTGACTCCGTTCTGCGGGTTTGCTCCTCCAGATCCAGGCTCCCAAAGGTTTCCTCGCCTCAGCCTCCATGAAACGGGGAATCTTTCGTCTTCTCGTCCTCCCCCCTTCTTTCTCTGCCTCCTGCCTGCAAAGCAAGCCTGCCCTGTGACTAATCTCACTCCGGATTATTATTATTACTGTGGCTCTGAGTTTGGGGTGGGTTTTCGGCCACACCGGCCGCCTGGAAAAAAAATGGGAAAATAAGATCTGATCGCTTTCTCTCTCGTTCTCTCTTCCTTCCTGTGGTTTTTTTTTTTTAATCCCCTTCCTACTCTCTCTCTCTCTTGGTTCGCCGAGGAATAAGAAGCCCACCCCCAGCCCCTGTCCGAAAGGCCGACTCGGCGAGGCCTGCCTCCCTCCTTCCTCCTCCTCCTCCTCCTCGCCCCTCTCCAAAGGCTCGCCCGACCGCAGGACCCCACGACTCTCGGGGGCCTCCCCGCCCCCCGCGGCGGATCTGGGGGGGTGGCGGCAGGGAGGGGGGAGGGAAGGCCTCTCTCCCGGTCTACGCCCCTCCCCTCCCTCCTCCTCCCTTTTCCCGGCCCTTTCTCCTTCCCTCGCTCCAGCTGGGGGGGAGGGGAAAGGGGGGGCAACCAGGGAGGCTCCTCCCTCCTCTTCCAGCCAAGGGGAGCGCCCTCCTCCTCCTCCTCAGCCCCCTTCCAGGCCCTTCTCCACCAGCCCCTCCCCTCGCTCTTCACCCCACCCCCGCCTCAGCTCCCACTGGCCCCGGGACTCCCCTAAAGGCTCCCTCCTCCTCCTCCGCCTCCTCCCATCTCCTGCTGTCTCCCGCGGTCTCCGCTTCCCTGATCCCTCTCAGTCCCCTCCCCAGGTGCGGCCTAACAGGATTCCCCAGTCTATTCCCAGCTTGGCCCCACGCCGGGACGCGGCTGTAGTTGGCGCCCACCCGCCGCCCACCCGCCCCCTACCCTACGTTGTTCCCGTCCCTCCCCCTCGCGCCTGGCCGCCGCGGGTGCCCGCACGCGGTACCAGCCCCATTCCCCCCGGCCCGATCTGCACTGCCCCTCCCCCTCCAACGCCCTTCCCCCCACATACCTCGTCCGGCGCCCCCCCTCCCCCCGCCGCCTTCTCCGCGGCGCCCTCTACCTTCGCTCCCCTCCCCCACCTTGCCCCCCTCCCCTCTAATGGTGCATCTCCTCGCCCTCGGGCCACGATGTCTACTCCACCACCTCTTATGCCTCTGCTCTTTTGTCTTAGTCACTTTGTAAATGCCATTGACCCTTCTCCCTTTCCTACCTTCCCTTCTTGGTGCCTTGAGCCCCCTTTCCTCAAACCACCTCGACTTCTTTGTCTCTTCCTTTCCTTTCGGGATTCCTCCATTCTTCTTTTCCCCTGCCATTTCCTTCCTTTCTCCACCCCTTCTCCAAGTTTACTCTCATTCTCCGCTTTTCCTTCTCCCTTTCCCCATTGCCTTCCGTCCCCTCCAGACCCTGGCATTTCAACTCTCTACCATACCTAGCTCCCTCTCTTTATTTGCAGTTGCTCCATGCCAACCAAACCTTCCTCAAACCTCCCGGGCTCCACATTTCAAACCTTTGTTTCCTTTTCTTTATTCTCTTCCCCCCCCCCCCCACCCCGAACTATTCCAATTACCGCTCCACCGCCCTCGAGACACAACCAGCTTGACCTGCTTCCTGTTGTATGGGACACACTGGAGGTCATCTTAATGCCAATCTGTATAAGCTATTTGACCCAACCGAAAATGCTTCCTGGGACGGCTCTGGGGATTGCTATAACTCTATTTTCCCTAATCACAGATTTCAAATCTTGTCGATCTTGGCCTTCGTGGGAAGGCCCCAAACTTACTTTAAAATTATTAAATTAAAATTTTTTTTTCCGTAAGGCCTGAGTAGTGAATTTTTGTTATCCTACTCAGATCAATTATTTTAAAACAGGTGGTTGGCAGTGCAGTACAGTATTTGCATATTTTTCTTTTAGTTCTACCTTGACTGCTCTCAGAAAGCATACATACTAACACTAATACATGGTTTGTAGGTAGAGGGTGGTACATGTCTACTGTTAGGGAGAATGGCATATAGAGGGGAAGATCTATCTTCCCTCTGGTCTTTATGACAGTTTTCCCAGAGATTTGGGAGGCAGGAATCAGCCCTGCCATAATAATAATTAGATTGTATATTGCAGTTTAATGTTCACTGTATCTCCTTTGAACTTTATAACAACATTGAGGTGGTACTATAGGTATTATCCCCATTTTACAGAAGAGGAAACTGAGGCTTAAGAATAATAAGCAGGCGCAGTAGATAGAGCACTGGCCTTGGAGTCAGGACGACCTGAGTTCAAATCCGGCCTCAGACTCATAACCCTTACTAGCTGTGTGACCCTGGGCAAGTCACTTAACCCCATTGCCTAGCAAAAAAAAAACAAAAACAAAAACAAAAAACAGAATAATAAGCAGGCTATGAACCCAGATTTTTCCCCAGTCCAAGTCCAGCAAGCAGTCTACACCAGTCTGGCAGAACAATCATCCAATGATCAATGAATCTTAGCTTTGAAGCTGTCATTATGCCCTCCACTTTCCAGGATTTCCTTTACTCAGTTCAATTCCATTAAATTTGATTGGCACTTATTAAGTGCCTGCTGTGTGCCTGCCACTGTACTAGCTACTGGGGATACAAAGACAAAAAACAAACTGGTTCCAGCATTCAACGACCTTACACTCTGTTAGAAGGAATGTACATGGAAAATTATGTACAAATACATACAAAGCAATTTCCAGGAGGAATGGTCCTAGCAATTAGATCCAGACAGGCTTCCTGCGGTAGGTGGCACTGGAGAGGGGCTTTGCCAAAAGCTAGGGGATTCTCTGAGGCTGAGTTAGGAGGCAGAGCATTCCAGCCACGAGGAACTACAATCAGTGCAATATGTTGGTCTGGAAGATGAAATGTATAGGAGGAGCACGCCAGTTTTGCTAGAACAAAGTGTAAATGTGTAAATGTAAATGTGTGAAGAAGAGGGACAATGTGAGACTTAAAGGCAGAAGCGCATTAAGAGCCCTTCAATATCGCAGATTTTTTTTATTAAGCAGTTCCTGTGTAGAAAGCCAGGCATTGTGGAAGATTCAGAGATAAGTCAGAGACACCTCTTGCTGTCAAGAAGTTTAGAATCTAGTAGGGGTTAAAATAGGCACACACAATTAACAATCATAATAGTAACTCCCATTTATAAGACATACTTACACAGCTTTGTCACATACATCAATCTCATTTGATCCTCAGAATACCCTATGAAAAAGACAGATCCTAACAGATGAGGAAACAGACACTTGGAGAGATTAAATGATTTCCCCAATGTCACCATTCTAGTAAATTTTAGAACCAGGATCAGAACCTATTCCAAGTCCAGTTTTCTCTCTCTGTAGCATCTAACTGTCATAAGAGAAATCCAAAGCCCTAGTAAGAATCCTATTGAGGTTTAAATCTTGGTTCTGACCATAGCTTTTGTGACCTCGAACAACGTTTAGCCTCCTGAGCCTCAATTTCTTTATCTGTAAAATGGGATGATAATACTTGTGCTACCTCCCTCACAAGTCTTTTTTAGGGAAGGAAAGCACTTTATAAGCACTAAAGTGGTACAACACGTGAGCTCTGTTTTTATAATGGTGGGATTGGCTTCAGAGGAAGAAGGGATCTCATCTAGCTTCGTGGGATCAAGAAAGTTTCTTACAGTAAAAGTCGACACCTTCTAGATTGGAGAAAGACTCCTTATAGAGTGCTTCAAGATTTGCAAAGCAGATTCCTCATATCGTTATTGTTTTTGAGACAAATTGATAGTCTCAGAGAGGTGACTTGCCTATTGTCACACATCGGGTAAGTATGTGAAGCAGAATTCAAAAACCTAGTCTTTTAACTACAAATCTAGCATCATAATGCATCATCCTAAGAGGAATGCAGTCCCAGAAAACTGTTGGCTTTGAGAACATAAAAGTTGGGGAAATGATGCCTTCCCCCCCCCTCCTTCCAAGCACTATTTACAGATACCTCATTTTTTCCCACTAGTCCCCCATTTTAGAGGTGAAGAAAACAAAACATAAAGTGGTTAAATGACTGACCAAGGGCACAAATGGCATAGCTTGGACTAGAACTCACTTCTGGGAAGTAAAAGAAATTTAGTAGATCAATTCTTGATGAGCCCAAAGGACTCTGGGAAATTATTTCTAGTTGGAGGAGAGGGAGGAGGATAAGGATATGACTCCTGTTCTTAAGAAGTGTGTACTTTAGGGACAGCTAGGTGGCGCAGTGGATAGAGCACTGGCCCTAGAGTCAGGAAGACTTGAGTTCGAATCCAGACTCAGATACTTGACATTTACTAGCTGTGTGACCCTGGGCAAGTCATTTAACCCCATTGCCTAGCCAAACAAAAAAAAAGTTTGTACTTTAAAGACTAATAAAAGCCAAATGTTATATTCAGGTGCAGATTAAGCACTATCATGCTTACAAGGACGCTGTCCAGAAAGAGGGATGGAGGACCATGATCACAGTCTTTAGGCATAATATAAAGCAAATATTTATTAAGTACAAGTTACAGGGCCCAGTCCTGAGATGGAACAAGATAATTACAAGTCTTCAGGAAAAATAGTCTTTTCATAGAAGTCTCTTTTCCCTTTCAAATATCATTCTAGCAGGAGTTCTTAACCTGGGATCCACAAACTCGTTTTAAAAATTATTTTGGTAATTGGTTTCCTTTGCAATCATCTGTATTTAAAAACTTTATTTTGAAAAGGGTTCCCTAGACTCCCAAAGGGGTCCATGAAACACATGAAAAAAGTTTAAGAACCCCTACACTGTAAAATCAGACCCTTTATCTCCTGGAGAAAAGGAAGGCTTCCAGTATTAATTAC